GCCTTTGCATAGTCAATGAAACACAGATAGATATTCTTCTGGTATTCTTTGCTTTCTGCCAAGATCCATCTTACATTAGCTATAATATCCCTAGTACCGCGACCTCTTCTAAATCCAGCCTGCACATCTGGCAGTTCTCTGTTGATATATTGTTCCAAACGTTTTTGGATAATTTTCAGGAGAATCTTGCTTGCATGTGTTATCAATGATATTCGATAATTTCCACACTCTGTTGGGTCATCTTTCTTTGGAATGGGAACAAATACCAATCTCTTCCAGTCAGTTGGCCAGCTGGCTGTATGTATCAGGATTTAATTTCTCTTTATAACTGGTTACTATTAACTGGATTTTAAAAAGGAAATCTATAGGGACAGATTTGTAGCAAAAAGCATTTGATTTTGTTTTAGTGCTACTATATAACAAAAATGCCTCAAGTGGATAATGTTAACAGACAAAAATGTCTTCTGCAGTTTAGGAGGCTGGAAGTCCAAACACCATATACTGACTCTATAGGAAGACTTTGTTGGTCTTGAAGGAAAGTGCTTGTCTCCTTTCAGCATCTTTAGGTCTGACATTTCTTGTGGGTCTACCAAGTGTCTTGGCATGAGTCTTCCCCTTGGTCTAGAAAGTCACCACATAGGGACCCTGGGCCCAAAGGACACACTCTCCTCCTTGCTCTTCCTTCTGGGGGTACTGAGCTTCCCCTCTTTATGCTCATTCTCTCTTTTATTTTTAAGTTAAAAGATGTTGCAGGCCACACCCTGGGAAAACTCTTCTTACATCAGGTCAGAGATTAATGATGTTACATTCCATCTTTAATGCTTTTGCAACTGATAAGTTTATCAGCTCATTCGAGTCCCACATTTGATTATTATATCTGAAACACTAGGAATGAAGATGATCTAGCCATGTAAACACATATTTGGCAGGGAGGATACGGCTCAATCCAGAGAGCTCTGGTTGATTAGTGGTGTAGAGTTGTGCAGACAACCCAAAGGCATGTAGTTCAAATCTACCTGATGCTCCATGAGAGAAAGATGGACAGTCTCTTTCTGTGTGATTTGTAACCTTTGAAAAGCCACTAGACGGTCACTGATGAGTTAGTTCCAAGTTGACGGTACATAACAACAGTAACAATAGCTCAGTACCTGGCTTTACATTATCCACCCTGATTACAGGAATCAGAATTAAAAGGGTTTTAACTGTGAACAATAAACCATATACAAAAGAATATATTATGTATGTGTGCATGTGTACACAGAATCCTGGGATGATGCAAATGGTTATGCAGTCGGTTGCTAAGGGGTTGGGAGTTCAAGTCGACTTAGAGACATCACAGGATAAAAGGCCTGGCAATCTACTGCCCCAAAAATCCACTGAAAACCTTATAAACTGTTCTCTTCTGACATGGGCTCACCATGAGCTAAGGTTGACTTAACAAACTTGTGATTATTTGTAGACTATTTGCAATTATTTGCAGGTGTTTATTTGTATTAATCTCCTTTGAGGAACCGGCATCATCCCCTTGCTAAGTGATAACTTTGGGTGATGCAGTACATTTTAGAAACTTTATTCTCTGGAGAACGTTAGGAAAAAGGATTACATCTGCTGTTTGTTTTCATTTTATTTGTTTTCTTACTCTTTGAACTCTAGCAAAATTCAACTTAGTTTTCCACTCCTCTTGGAAGCTTTCCCAGGGAGAAAGTATCTGCTCCCTGTAAAGTTTTGACGTATATGTGACTTTTTATAGAAAACTTAGGATCCAGAATTTAGTGGGATATAAAAACACTTGTCTGTGAAGCAGTCTTTTTATTTTATTTCATGTCTTTATTTTTATTCTTGAGCCAGTTGGCTTGTTTAGGGTATCAGGGGTTTTTTTCATGTCCCTCTTCCTAAGTTGTTTTTTTTTTTTAATCAAAGCCTTAGAACTGTTCATACTTGTCCTTTGCCATTATACATTTGTAATAAATCCTTGGGCTAAAATAAGCCCGTTTCAAAATTGTATTCAGACTGAAATTCTGTTCTTCAGTGTTGTGTGCAATGATACATATTACAATAGTATCTCTGCATCTCAGCATTCTTAACAAAGTAGCATTTTTACTAATGTTCATTAATCCCTAAAAACTTCACTTGATGATTCTAGAGATGAGCCATCTAATTCTCCAGTAATTTTTTATGTATTCCTACAATACTCCCTAGTCATTTGAGAAGGAAAGAAAAAAAATTGGGCAAAGCAAACCATTCCCAATTATCTAAGAATCCAGTTAACTCACCTCTTGCTTGAGCTGTGTGATAGAGTTTTGGAGGGAAACC